TACCCCAACAAAGAAGGGGTTGGTGCAAACGAGGGCTGCAGACCAGAGCCCCCCCGGCCACACACAGACCTCAGCCCACCGGTACGACTCCTGTAGCGGGGAGGCTCCCAGCCGGATTGCTGAGGGATGTCAGGATTCCCCTCCGGACGGGGATATTTAAAACACACAGAATTCTCCCCACTCCGCGTGGCAGTGGAACTATCGCTAAGGAAACCGGTGCCGCAAATTCTGCATTTTTATTGCTCTGTTGGATGAAGCACGAGTTGAAAACAGGCAGAAGGCAGACCAGAGGAATCCGGCATGGAAAAATGGGAAATCCGCAAATACCACTTCTATCGGAGGCACCCGACCAGGGAGGCACCGCACCGAGCGAGGCCTGCTAGCCCGGCGGCACAGCAAAAGGCGCCATCGCTGCCCTTCAGAGGGCCGCCCCCCCGGTCCCCCCTGCCTCCCTGCCGCCGGGCAAGCCAGCACCCTCCTCCTCCTCCCCGCAGAGCACTGGGGACAGATGGGGAAGAGAGGAAGAATCGGGACACGTCCAGCTTGGGGAGCAGCCCCTGACTCCCACCCTTGGCCCCGCAGCATCCCCCCCCAGAAGTGGGATGCGGGGCCGTGTGGCGGTGGCTGTGCGGCGGTGGCCATGTGGTGGTGGCCGTGCCGCGGTGGCCGTGCCGCGGTGGCCGCTCCCCGCACAGCTGCAGGCAGCTGCCGAGAGCCCGCCGTGCGGGTTTCGGGCCGGCCGGGGTGGGAACTTCAGCTGGCGCCAGAACCTGCTGGCAGCATTGGTTCATTTTTAGGCATGTTTACACCAAGACCAAGCCTGTGCAGAGACACAGCTGCAGGGGCATAAAAATGCTTTTCCTTATTATGTCTGGAAATGGGTTTAAGCTGTCCCTGCAAAATTTCTCCTCAGCTCTGCTGGCAAACCGCTCCTGTTCTAGGGGAGACTTCCCAGCTTACGCAGCGTCCCCCGTGCCCGCACAGCAGATCGTGCTTTGAGTCATCTCGGAAAGCAAACATGCAAATTACAGCAGCGGTTTCACACGTCTGCCATCGTCCTGGCACTCTTAGCCCTGAGCCCTCAGCCACAGAGGCAAATCCCTCAGCACCCCACAGCACCCGGCTAACGCCCCGCCAGGTCCCCCC